AGAGAGAGAGAGAGAGAGAGATAGTAAAGAGAGCTAAGTAGATAGATATAAGGGGGGTAGATAGATATAGAGATAGATAGATAGATAGATAGATAGATAGATAGATAGATAGATAGACAGAGAGAGAGAGAGACAGATGGAGAGATAGATAAATAAAAATAGAGAGATAGAGATAGATACAGATATAGAGAAATAGAGAGTGAGATTGATAGAGAGATAGACATAGATAGGTGATAGATATAGATAGATAGATAGAGAGAGAGAGAGAGAGAGATAGTAAAGAGAGCTAAGTAGATAGATATGGGGGGTAGATAGATAGATAGATAGGTAGATAGAGATAGATAGATAGAAAAATAGATAGATAGATAGATAGATAGATAGATAGATACATAGATAGAGATACAGATAGAAATAGAGAGATAGAGATAGATATATATATAGAGAGAGATACATAGATAGTAAGCTAGATGATAGATAGTGAGAGAGAAAGATAGATTATTTAGAGATCCATATAGGGAGATAGATAGAGACGGGTGATAGATAGATAGAGAGAGATAGAGATAAAGAGAGAGACACATAGAGAGAGATAGACAGAGATAGATCAATAATAGAGAGAGAGAGAAAGAGAGAGAGAGAGACAGCTCCCAATTACTAACTAATTACTCCCAATTCCCGTTCACTATGTAACTGGCTGAACCGGAATACTCCTCATTGTTGCTTTCCTCCCTTGTCCAACCCGGCCCAGAACGTGTTTCTCTCGCGGAGGCGAGGTTTAACCCGCCAGCCATTTTAGGGGGGTTGCTTTGCTCCCTTTCTTCCTCCCTCTCTCTCTCCCCCCACCCCCACATCTTCGATTCCCCACCTGGGGAAGCCGCCTCCATGCCCTCCACCCCCCTCCAACTCGCCCCTTCTGCCATTTCAGCGCCAGGTGTCCGAGGGGGGGATCGCCGGGCCCCTCGTCCCGGACAAAATGGCTGATGTTCTGTGCCCTCCGCCACCCCCGGAGGAGCAGGAGAGCATCTACCACTGGCTCCCCACCCAGGTGGAAGGCCGCGCCAGGCCCCCGTGCCAGCTAAGGTAGGCGTGTGGGTGCGGGGGGTAGGGGTGGGTGTAGATTCCCTTATGGAGAAAGAAAGAAAGAAAGAAAGAAAGAAAGAAAGAAAGGAAGGAAGGAAGGAAGGAAGGAAGGAAGGAAGGAAGGAAGGAAGGAAGGAAGGAAGGAAGGAAAGGAAGGAAGAAAGGAAGGAAGGAAAGAAAGAAAGAAAGAAAGAAAGAAAGAAAGAAAGAAAGAAAGAAAGAAAGAAAGATGGAGAGAAAAATGATAAAGATAAATAGATGGAAAGATAGAGAGATGGAGAGATAGATAGATAGATAGATAGATAGATAGATAAGAGATAGATGGTAGGTAGGTAGGTAGATAAATATATGATAGATAGATGGATGGATGGATGGTTGAATGGATAGATAGATAAGATAGATAGATAGATAGATAGATAGATAGATAGATAGATAGA